CAAAAGTACAATAGCTTGAAGTAGACCTCCTGTTAGTGAGAGACCCGCCCGAGTCTGGATCAGTGAATACTTTTATACCTCTATTTAAACCTTTGGTAAAAGCAATTTGTGATAACCGGGTCTTGGTTATCACCTGAGGTAATCATTATGTGATTATTTGATATATGATTATGTGAATGCATGACAAATTGTTATATTTGATCATGTGGGTATGTGTAATTCTTATGCATGAGAGATATATGCATAATATGAATGCATGCATGAGATTGTATGTATGTGAGTGTGCATGAATTAAGTACGTATACATGCATGCATGATTAATATGGAGGGCATGCATATGAGTCTTTTAGCCGCCTTTCCACTTTTGGAAAGGAGTATAAATAAGGAGAGGCTCATAAGTTAAACTTCTTGCCATTTTGGAAATCTGAGAGAAGATATTCTGTGCGGATTGCTTGCCTATTTGGAATCTGAAGTTGATTTGGATTTGCTAATTGCATAAGGTGAGTGGTTTAAACATTTGATTCATATGATTTTTATCTTTTGTATATCAAATTATGCTTTGTTCTTTGAAATATGTTGACCGGAATGAGGATGTCCGGCCATAATGTTGATCGGACAAGGTATTGGTGATTTTTGAAATTGTGAATCCGGTCACAGTTACGTCCGAAACCGTCCCTGTCCGGCTAATGTGTCGTCCAGACTTGTTCTAATCCGGCTAGTGTGCCGTCCGGAACCGTCCCTGTCCGGCTAGTGTCATCCGGAGTCGTTCCTATCTGGTTAACGAGCCGTCCGAAAACGTTCAAATTCGGCTAGCGTGCAGACCGGAAACGTCTTAGTCCGGCTAGCGAGCCGTCCGGATACGTACCAATCCAGCTAAAGTGTTGTCCGGATACGTCTCATTCCGGTTGTAAGGCCGTCCGGGTTCCTTGACCGGACTCAAGTTATAAAGTGTTTTTAATTTCTAGTGTTGTCAGGATAAGTAATCCGGCCAAAGCATGACCGGATATCAAATCCGGCTAAGTTTATTGTATTGACCGGATTGTTGGAGGTTGACCGGATATGTAATCCGGCTAAAACTATTTTGTTGACCGGATAAGTTAATGAGTATTTTATTCAAAGGTGGATTATGTTAATGGCATATTGATCTTTTTAAAATAATAAAGGAAGAGTGTTCAATGTTTGTTTTGAAACCATTTTTGGTTAAAACTATAGATGATGTTCCATCAGAACGTTTGTGACTTCGGTCTGTCCGAATTGGAAATAATCTGTAAGTTTTGACGAGGAAATAAGGGTGGCATATCAAGGAGAGGTATACTTGGGACAAGGGTGGCATATCAAGGAGAGGTGTACTTTGGAATAAGGGTGGCATATCAAGGAGAGGTGTACCTTTGGATATAAGGGTGGCATTTGTGTATGTGTTTATTAATATAACTCTTATTATTATATCCTTTAAGATTACGATGACTCTTAGTCCTTATTTCTTTGTGATTTAAAGATTCAGGGACATGGTTCTTATTGGAAATGGTAGTAAGAATGTTATTGAGGAGAAGATAACTGGCTTTTGGCTAGAGGCCTTGAATAACCGTGTTTCTGATGAAAATGTTTAGAGATGAGTTATGTGGAACCTAAAAGGTTCTAGCCTATTTTGCTTAATACATTATTTATAAAGTCAAAGATTGACTTTGGGAATCAACGGGGCACTGGTAAATGTGAATTGCATGGTTATGTATTTGTTTACATGAAAAATTGATTTTAAATAAAGTTTTGGTGATCTTCACCCTACAATTACATGGAAAAAGGGATCTCACTAGACCTTCCGGTCTAACCCTCATTTTGTATTTCTAACTATATATTGCAGGAATGTTGGGTTACACGATGGTAAGGGGAAGGGGAAAATGTGATATTTTCCTATGTACATATCTATGTGAAGATCAGTTATGATGAATCTAGTTTTGGTAGATAAATGTTGATCAGTACAAGAATTTGTATTTTGGAATTTTTGGATTAGGTATTTTTCACGATAATTTCTTGTACTTTGGGACCTAAGTGGTATAATACATGTATATCTGTTAAATGAAGAATGTGTTACATGCAATGTATGATGTGGGGTGTTACACAATTCCTTTTCTAGGTGTCCCTTTGAGATACCTCAGAATTCGATATGTCGCCTCCATGTGTTCATCTATGGGATTGTTCATATACTAGGTTACAACACTTACTAGAGAACCTATATCAGGTCTTTTGTGTGAAAGGTAGATTAGTTTTCCCACTAGCCTTTGGTCCCTTCCTTTGTCTACTGGAATGTTGTCTTGCTTCGATCCCACCTTGTTGCATGGTTCCATTGTCTTACCAGTTGGTTTACATCCAAGCATGCTTGTTTCTTTTAGGAGATCTAGGACATACTTCCTTTGAGAGATAAAGAGATTCCTTTCTTGATCTAGCAAAACTTCCATTCCAAGGAAATACTTCAAATTTCCAAGATCTCTAACCTCAAATTCCTTTCTTGACCAACTTCTATGTGATCATTGTCAGTCAGGACTATATCATCAACATAGACAATAAGGGCGGTTACCTTTCAATCAGAGGTGTGCTTGACGAAGTGCGTGTGGTTTGCTTGGCATTGAGTGTATCCTGTTCTTTTAAGAACTCTAGAGAACCTATCAAACCAAGCCCATGGTTACAATTTTAGGCCATAAGTGACAGATAACTCTCCTTGACGTAAATCATGGAGTGTGCTTTCGATGGCAAACAATTCTGCAATGTCGTCATTACTGGAATAGGTATCTCGGGCAGCCTCCCATATTTCTTGAGCCGTAGAGTAGAGAAGAAAATTTCCCCCTATTTCTAGGGTCATATAGTTAATCAGCCATGTCATCACCATGTTGTTTTCTGATTTTCAGTTCTTGAAATTGGGCTCATCAAATTTAGGAGCAGGAACAACCCTGTGAGATGATCTTCCTTTCCTCGACCACGTATGTATAGCATGACCAATTGAGACCATTGAAGAAAATTATGACCATTTAGTTTATGACTAGTAATTGGAAGAGGATTTTGTGCCGGTCATAATGATATTTGGATGAGAAGTCTTTGAATTGAAGATGACTTCTGATTGGGTTTGGGAAGAGGATTTTGTGCTAGTCACAATGATATTTGAGGGTGAGAGGGCAGCAATGATCTTAAGGAAGGCGAGAGGACAGCGATAGCAAGGGAACTTTGGAGCTTACTGTTTGTTCCTTGATCGCTGTTGTGATTGAAACACGGCAGCAACAGAAAAGCAGTCTGGGATAGAGATGTTCTGATACCATGTGGAATTCTTTTTTATTTCACTTGTCTCAAAAGAGGGAGGTACAAAGGCTATATATACACAAAGAATATGAGAGGAAAACGGAAGGATTCCTAAGATATTCACAGCAGCTAATTACAAGGAGATATTACCAACAATCTCTAATTCCTATTTACAACAATATTATCTCTAAGGATACTGAATATTTCTACAGTGTTTGCACTTCTTGCGTGTAATTAGAACAAGAATGTCTATGAGAAGTGGTATGGCAGCACGTTCAGTAGTTGTTTTACTTATCCAGACATTCACACATCCTGCTTGGGTTTTCTTTCCTCTTAGACAAGTAGAAGAAACTGAAGCAACGTGAACCTATGATTGGCTATGTTTCAAACCATGTGAAGCATAGGCCTCAAGCTCACAATTAGAGTCAAATACTAATGGTTATGGAAACCGTTAAAGCTACTACCAAGGTTCTTAAAGAAAAATGGTTGCAACCCCTTTGCATCCTCCTCTTTTATCATGGGGCCTATACATATATCTCCTCAAGGTTCGGGAATATTGTCTTCATGGAAGTCCATAAGAAGTACAACTTCATGTGGGTAAGGAATCAAGAGGTGAAAATAGTTTTCCTCATTTGAGTAAGGAAAGGGCAGCATCATCCAAGAAGCACGTGAGCAAGGAGTAAGAAAAAGCAAAGGCCTGTTATAGTCTTTGGTTCATATGTTCTAGCAAGCGTTTGTACTTTTGCAGTGAATTTCAGTTCTTTAGTTTGATATCAAGAGGAAGTATCCATTCAAATTTGGAGGATGTACAGGATGTTCTAGAACCTTCCAAGACAAATAAATCTTCCAAGGGTTCGGAGTTTGTGTTTGGGATTCAATTAATCGAATTGTTTTGTTTATTTACCAAGTAAAGGCAGACCGAGTAGGATGAGGTGGAATTAGGTCACTTTGACTCTCATAAGCAAAATGGTGATCATTTTGGGGGTTCAAAAGATGGTTTAAAGCAACGGACTTTCACGACTTATCTGAAAAGTTCATTTTCTGTTGAAGATTATTGGAAGGATCATGTAAAGTGGCAGAATCAATATTTGTTCTTCTTCTTTCCACCTTCAGGACAAGGTGGAATTTGGGGGAGGTATTGTTATACACTATGTTAGTAGTGATACAAATAATTACTGCATAAAGCGTACAAGTAGGTATTGTATATCTAAATAACTCGTTAGGGTCCAGTAGGTGAGTTATTCTTATTTTGTGTCAAATTGGACGTGAGTCCCTAGAAGAGTTTATGGCCTCTCAAAAGCCAGGAAACGTCTTTTGTAATCGGTTGGTTGTGAATAGTTAATATCAATCTTACTACTAATCCTGTTAGTATAGACATGGGTTACCTCGCATCTCTGTCTTGGTCCATGACAATACTACAACCCCGGTTTTAACAATACCTACTTGTTTTGACTTTGTACAAGTCTTTATGAGCACTTGTGCAGATCACTGACAAGGTCGGTTTGTTAGAGATTTTGTAGTATTGTGACAAATCAAGTTCGGTTTAATTGGTTCCTCAAAGGCTTACTCGCATGTTACCCTCTTCTTAAGTTTTTGATTTCATAACCCAATTAAGAAATAAAATTTGGCATTTTTCTTATCACTGGAAATAATAACATATGCAAAAAGTTCACAATTGTTTGCAGCATCAAAGGCACAAGCCTAAGTTAACTAACCTGCTGACATGGAACCCACAAAAGTCTCAAGAAACCTGACGACTATCAAGAAGAAATTTTCTCCTGATGACGAATGACTCTTCACCAATGACATTGTCCTAAAAAATGCATTGCATCAAGTCATGTATTAATTTTTTCTTGTTATATAATATAAACGTGTCTCACTGCACATCAAAAGTAGAGCTGTAATTAGCAAACCTGTACAGAGAAATTGCCATCTTCGAAGTTGTCCAACATATGACAAAAAACATACACCAAAGTAAACAAAATCAATTTAAGTACGTATATCGCAACATAATATGAGACTATGATAGTTGAAATCAGAATCAAACTTACTGCATCATTCAAAACTGATTCACCAAAAACCAAAGCATAGAGATTAGTGTCTGTGCCAAGTTCCTACAATTTACATGGTAAATATGGTCATATACAACTGAAAAATAGACGGTCTATGAAGCCATTTTCAAAATATTTGAGACTCAACTATATAGGGGTTAGAAAAAGATGCAAATGTGTGAAGTTCACATGGCAAAAGTATTGTTTAAACCGTTAAGTAAAGGTTCAAGTCCATTGATGATTTTACCATATATATGCTCAACAGATGAAATCTGAAGATGCTATGCGAACAAGAAAGTATCGGAGAATATGGAGAAGGAACATTAACAGAAGAAATTGAGCATTGTGCATGCAAAAGTGTAGACTAAACGATTCCTAAAATGGTTTTTGCAGTCTGGAAGACATAAAATTACTTATAAAAATTAAGAAATATACATCATCTAGAGCTTGTTAAATACATCCTTATGATGCTTTGCGAACATTTATGTTGCCACCTCACATCATTAACCTTTTAAGGTCCTTGCTCACGATAGCCAAGTGTAAAGAACTAGAGTGGCTCAAAGAAGTGACTAAACCCATAAAACTTTAGTAGGTAATCATCTAGTAGCTGAAAAGCAGGGGTACATCTAGCCCTTGCAGAATCCCTCGTATTGAGTGTTTTAGGGGCACAATGGAGTGTCCCCTTGCAGTTTTGACCATAGTCCCGAATTACTAACCACAAAGTCACAAAGCTATAATAATGTGGATGTGCAATAGAAACATTTTTTTTTAGAAACAAAGGCTCTAATTTAATTAAAAAAACTTAAACTTTGTAATATGCAGAAGAGGAAAAACACGACAACACAACAAGTTGGTTTCTCCAACAGTGTAGACTAACATGGACACACTAAGCAACAGCATGATAAGACTTAGGTCTTACGTTTTATTATGTATTCATCTTATATATTTATATCTGAATCATCAAAAACTTTTTCCTTTTGTTCAGTTGATTTTCGACTTGTATATATACACATTTATAAACACACCTCCACTAGTGATCAGAAATTGTTGAAGAAACGACAAGATCTTTCTTTTCTCAGGCGATCAGAATCCTTATTTTTTTAAACTCTACTAGAATCCACGTATCATGCACGCATATCCCTATACTAGTATCGTTCCAAAATAAGTAGCCTCCTAGTAAGAACTTATATGGAGACTACAATCATTACTACCATTGATGTGAGAAGAGGAATGGGATAAAAACAGCCCTACCTCACCATCACTTAATTCAGGTTACTGTCAAACTTAATCAGTATTGTCTCTTATCTCCAAGAGGTATGTGCCTCTAACAACCGAGCACACCTAGGAAGGTCCTCCTCGCATATCATTTTTGTAACTATGGAAGCCACCTAAGTCCACAAAACTAGGCTTACAACTTATTTAGAGGGGAATGAGAGTTGCAATACCCTTCTACTAAAGATATCATGTTCAAGTGCTTATAGAATGATTAGATCTAACATATCCAAATTGTCCATAATCACAAGCTATCAACTGAATGAAACCAATTTAAGCAATTAAGCACACATATGATGATTGAAAAAAATAAATGGCACCCAATCCCTTCATCAATTGAAAAAAAATACATTATATCCCTTTTAGAGCCATAGCACATTGTGTATGCAAATCACCACACCCTCAAGCATTTGAATCTCCCTATAGTATTGTGTTAGAAAACCGATGATCTTATCTTCAAAGGAAAAGAAAAACAAGTCACGTAGACTCACAAACCCTACCAAAATTATTCTTGTAAATCAATACCAACAATGAGAGTACAAATAAATGAACTAAGGGAATCACTTTAGAACAAAATCAACCTGAAAGATGGAGAGAACCGTGACAGGGTCTGTTGCTGAAATAAGAGCACCAAACATCAAACACTCAACCAACGGCAGTCTATACATGAGATACATTGCACCACCAAGATACCTGTAACATCAAATGTGAAAGCAGTCCGAATTTAGTAAGGCATTTCTTGAAAGAATGAAAAGTACCTTTTCCTCATCTTCTTTATACATAAATTCATTATTATTTTACTGATAAACAGAATACTCACACCAAGAGACCTGTAACCATTGCGGCAATAAATGTTCCCAAAATTGCAAATGTCACAATGGCTCCAAAGTTTGAAAAGAATGGTTTCTGAAAAAATGCCACCAGTTAACATATGTAATAACAGAATGTGCGCTCTATATAACAGTCATGATGACTTACAGGTGCTAAACTGAATCCTGATTGGGTACACAGAAATGGTCAAGAGAAACAACCGGGAAATCCCTTCTACAAAAGATTTATTAAGAAAATAGATAATAAAGAATAATAAGTGATTAAGAAGCCTGATCGAGGATATAATATGATGGGGGGCAACAGAAAAAGGAAGAAGAACTCCTCATGAAAATTGAACCAGGCCCTGCAGTAGACAGAGGGGAGAACAGAGAGAAGGGATGAGGAAAAACCGAACTGTACCCGTCAGTTTTAATATGTTCAACAAACCAAGAAAGATCATGAAGCTAAAACTATAATAAAGTATTCAAGAACCTGATACTAGTTTCTGTATTCGAAATATTCGCAAGTCCACCAACAATTAACCCTGACAAAATCAACGTGCACTCAGAGTCATGTGAGTGGAAATTTTGAACGAAATTGTCAGCGGTTAGATGACTGTGATACTGAAAATTCATTCAAAATACGTACAAAATCATAGGAAAGTGGTGAACATACAAGAAACGCAATAGAATCGAAGAAACTGAATTCAAGCAATAAGTGTAAAGAAAACATGGGATTATATGAGCATGGTTTACCAATCAAAAGGGAGGCGCTTGCTTCAGGAAGATAATAGAATCTATGACGCCGTAAAACATGGCCAAGAATGAATGAAAGGACAAGCATCATAATCTGAAGAAGAATCCCTACCCCTGCCGCCTGTTGATCCTTACCTGGAGTACCCCCATGATCAGCAGGAGATATTTGCAGCTCATCCATGCCGACGGGATGCTTCCAGTGTTATTCCTGACACTTGATCTCAATCTCAATTTCAAGCTCACACTGTAAACCATGAACGACGATACGATGGTTGATTCTTCAACCCTTGGGAATAAAACTGTTGACGCTCTTGCCCTTACCCTTTCCCTTTCCTCGAACTACTACAAGAAGCAATTTACATAAATTGTCCTCGACTATGTCTTAATGTTCGAATATTTCTATTTTGGAATTATCTTTACAATTTAGTCCCTATGTCAAAGTTGTTGTTTATTTTCATTCAACATAACGCAACATTAGAGAATACAACAATATCCTTTTACCATCTTAAATGTTTTACGTGAAGTCTCTAAGGGTGCGTTTGGTGCACAGACAGGACTGGACAGGACAGGACGGGACAGGACGGGACAGGACGGGACAGGACAGCTGTTCAACGTTTGGTAAGATAGGACAGGACAAGACAGAACATGCTAAAATGACCAATTTACCCCCAGCAAAATCGTTTCAATTGAATCAGGCGCAAACATGAATCAGAAAAACACAATTGCATCAATAGTCATAGTTAAGCTAGAACACAATTGAATCAGAAAAACACAATTGCATCAATAGTCATAGTTAAACATGAATCAGAAACCCTAAATCGCCGAATTATAACAAGTTTAAGAAACCCTAAATCGAGTTATGCAAAATCGAGAATGAAATCAGAAACCCTAAATCGAGTTATGCAAAATCGTCGATTGATGGTGTACCTGGTGCGATGGTGCGATGGTGTACCTGGTGCGATGGTGCGATGGTGTACCTGGTGCGATGGTGCGATGGTGTACCTGGTGCGATGGTCGATGGAAAGGAAATCGTCGATTGATCGGACTACCGTCGCCTCTGCCGTCGCCGGTCGCCTCGCCGGTCGCCTCTGCCGTCGCCAGTCGCCTCGCCGGTCGCCTCTGCCGTCGCCGGTCGCCGATTGATGAATGGAGGTGCGATGGAGAGGTAAGGGAAGGCGGGAAGGAAGCGATGGTGAGGGTAAACTAGTAAAAAATAGCCTGTTCTACTTAGTTCCAGGTGGTAAGGTAGAACACCCGTGTCCCATACTTGTTCATGTTAGTTCTACTTAGTTCCATTTAATAACACACCAAACATGGGACAAGTGTGTCCTGTTCTGTCCTGTTCCACCTTGTCCCACGCACCAAACGCACCCTAAGGGTCTGTTTGTTATCAGCTTAATGAGTTTAATAGGGCTTAAATCTTATTCAGTCAACTATATATGATTGTTTGGTAGTGGCTTAATGACATAGAAAGTGGCTTGTGCAGTAAGCTTCTAGAAGGGAGTTTTATAGAGCTCTTTGTATTACAAAACAATAAGAATAAAATAAAATTAAAGATGGTGATGTTTGTTGGATGCATATACAAACTCATCTTGACTTCTTTTTTGCAAATGTCAACAATTAACCTTACGGTATTATTTATCATCTGATCTCAATGTTTCACTAGTCCATGGCTTAGAGAACTAAGACTATTATAGGTCTACACTTAATGCTTACAAAATTAGGGTTTATGATTTGATTTAAAGTTTAATTTTCATGGTTTGATAGAGTAACTAGGGTTTATGATTTGATTTAAAGTTTAATTTTTATGGGTTGATAGTGTAAAGGGTTTTAGGTTCAAGTTAAGGTTTGAAATAGTCTTATTTCTTACACCTAGCGTTTTACTGTAAAACAATTTTTTGGCAGATATGAACAGTTTCATGTAAGGGAGTTGTATGTTAAATCTTATAAGAATAATAGAAGGCACTTAAAAGCACTAGCCCTAAGGTAACTCCATAGGATAAGTGAAGTTTGTGTAAGAATGATGTAATTTAGTATCATCATTGTTTATGTATGAATGCATGTCAACAATGCTCTTGTAAAAATGTAAGCTTGAAGTGTCAAAAATAGATGAAAATGGCATAAATAGTCAAAGATGAGGACCAGAAACGTAAGTACGTAGAACTTGAAAAGTACAAGAGGTTGAATGCTAAATTTTCAAGTAAAGGGACATATTATGACAGGTTTGCAAAGTGTTCGAACGAACTAGTGTTGACGGTATTGTCGTTTTGAGCAACAGTGGCCGAGAACAATTTGGTGCATATTTTGTCATCCAAATGAAGAAAACAAGTTTCCATTTGTTTATTCTCTCATTGGCAAGTAAAACCCACAAAAAATTTCAAAGAAATTAAGAGTATGATTCAAGTAGGGTAAGAGGCATAGAAGTTTTTCAAGGTTTGCAAGCATTTGTCGGTGATTTAAAGAATGCTAATTGTTGGAATATGGGAGACATACACTCAATAGAAAATAACTATATTCCTCCAAGAATCCATACGAAAGAAGTAAGACGAGTGTTTCAAAATTTTACCAGTACGAGCAGCAACTTAGCTTCATATCTGAATCTAAGTAATGAACTTAGCTTGTTGCCTTCACAATATTCATGCAAATTCACTTAATCCAGATGGCGTCTAATGCCAAGAAAGGAGATCCTCTTCCTTCCCGAATGCTAGATACTGTAGGGTTTCAATGGGATTACATAAACGCAGCAGAAAAACAAAACATATAAACATAAAAAGAAAGTAACCATGAAACCCTATTAGTCCGAATACGAAGCATATGTAATAAGAACATGATAAAATCAACCATAGGGGGTTTGAAGAAAAACTACCTCAAAAGATTATGGTTGAAATCCGAAGCACAAGAGATCAATGTAGATCTCCTCTAGAAGTATCCACACATGAGATGCTTTAATCCTGAACCAGTTGCTAGCCTGTAGCACCAAAATATCACACTAGAGAAAATCTATTTTCTCTAGTGTTTGTGTGGGTGGAAAAAATCGTCAAAAGGGAGGAGGAGAGGGAGGAGTAGGGCTGTAAACGAACCGAACGAATACGAACAGAGCCTTGTTCATGTTCGTTCGTTTAACTTAACCGAACAAACGAACGAACACAATGGTAAACGAATGAAAATCTTTGTGTTCGTGTTTGTTTGTTTAGAAATCGGGTGTGTTCGTGTTCGTTTATGTTCGTTCGTTAACATGCTAAATGAACATAAACGAATGACCATAAACAAATGAACATAAACAAATGGGCTAAACGAACATAAATAAATATTATTTGAATTCAAAGTAAATAAATAAAAGATTATGTATTAAATTTAATATATAAACAAACGAATATAAACGAACGATAAAGGAACGAACGTTCACGAACATAAATGAACGAACGAGACTCTTGTTCATGTTCGGTCGTTTAACTAAACGAACAAAAAAAATTGTTCATGTTCGTTTATTTATTAAATAAACGAACTTCCCGACAAACGGTTCACTAAACGTTCGGTTCATTTACAGCCCTAGGGAGGAGATACAAAAATGATTTTCTTAACCCTAAACCTAATCATAATTGGTTTTATATACTTCATCCTTTCCATATATGGTTGGGCCCTTTAACTTAAAAAAACTTTGGGCTTTAATCCTTTAAATAATTCAATTAATTATTAGAACCAAGTAAATCATTACTTAATAGTGTGGCGCTTAATAAATTATTATCTTAATAATTAATTATTCATCAATCCCAATCAATCCTCTTTTAATGTAATTATCATAATTACATTTGTTAGAGTTATAGAGTTGGTTCTTATAGGCTTAAGTGTTAAAGTCTAAATAGTTGATCAAGATTTATGAATTGTTGAAGCCAGAGTTTCAGATGTAACTCTAAATAGCTTGTTTGGAGTTCGAATATCAAGTAAACAATCTAAGTATCAAAGTCTTTAGAATTCGAGTGAAGAGTTAACAGAGTTCGCTTCGAAATCTGGATGAGACTAGAGTCAGCGGTCCTCCTATTACCATCTTATTTTTATTGATTTTTTATAGTAGATGTCAAAGATAAGGTTTGTTCTTATAAAGATGGAAAATTACTCAAATCCCATACAATCATGTTGGTGCCTACCACGTGGGATATAGCAAAACAATGGAGCAGATTTTGGGAATCCCCAAGCATGGGTTCATCCAACATATTTGGTGGATATATGGAAGGAGATGTATACCTTCAAAGTTGAAACAAATGATGGTAGAAAGACGTGGGCAATGTCTGAGTGTCCGACGAAGTTGAATCCATCAGCAAATGACACTCGAATTATAACACCCGGATTTTGATATCCATAATTTTAAGTTTTGTATGTATTTTAGGCTTAAAATACTCTTTTGGAAGTATTGTGAGCGTAGGTTGGGTTGAATGTCGTATTTGGCAAAAACTCAATTTTTGGTCAAAAATTACACTGCTCGCGTCTGTGCAGCTCGTGCACGCGAGCAAACCCCAAAAAGTGGGAAGAACCATATTTATACATTTCTCGCACCCGTGAAACCATTTGCTCACGCCTGCGAGCATTTAGGCAGAAAGTTTTTAGGCCCTGCAGCCCCTTTAAAACCCGATTTTTCCTTCTTTTTCTTCATTTCTTCTTCACCAACTCACTGCTCTCTCTCATTTTGGTCCAAGAACACCCTCTCCTCCAAATCGATTTCTTCAAGAGCATCTAAGAGCTTGGAAACTAAAGATTCAAGTCTTGTGGGTTGAAATCCAATATCTTCATCTTCTTCATCATCCTTCCACCATTGTTGACCAAATATTGGTGTTTCCTTAAAAACTCATTTGTATGTTATTCTAATATTTCTAGGCTTTTATACTCGTTAAAATACTTCATTTTAGCCTCCTAGAGCATCTCTCTTGATGCATTTTACACCTCCATGGATTTTGACCAATTTTGGATAATTTGGGAGATTTGAGGGGGTTTTACCCTTTATTGCTAGTAAATGTTGGATCTTCAAGAATGTTTTACGAAAATGAGTTTTAAGTACAGAACTGCTATTTTGAGACTTGAATCATACGATTTAAGTATATTTGATTGTTCATCTTTGGGAGAGTTTTATGTAAAATGGCTACATTTTGGAAAGATAGGTTACTTGTACTTGGGCATGAAATATTTTGAAGATCTTTGTAGATCTACAACTTACGCTCATTTAGTGGTTCATTTTTAGACTTAAAGAAATGGTTGGTTTGGAAACCATAGGTTCTTATTGAAGATGACTTGAAGATGGTGAAATCTTTATCATTGGAAGC